TAATGGTCTTTCCACCAAACACTGCATGCGTGTGTGTGTTTGTGTGTGTGTGTGTGTGTGTGTGTGTGTGTGTGTGTGTGTGAATGAAAGGCAGGGAGATCGTCATATGGTTTCTACTTTATTAAGAATGCACTTTGGCACCCCTTTATTTTCTTCACTTTAGGCTATTATTTTACAAACTAGATATAAAAGGACATAAATAAATGACATAAGTTACATGTACCTAGAGCTCCTTGACAAAAACAAAATAAAACAAAAAAAAACAATGGCAACAAAAAGAAAAGAAAAACATGATCATGTCAAAAAAAAAGTACAAAAGAAGATTGAGAGAATGTTAGATCTACATGGCTAGATCATATGGCATCGGAAGGCATACAATGACAAACATTAACTCTTGCGTTTTGTTAATTTTTTTTTTCTTTTTTGAAATCGTCCAACATTTAAGTAAAGGAAAAAAGTATTTTACAGTACATTCTGGTTTCCTTCTCCTTCCCAACATGTCTTGCATATTTCCAAACAGGTCCTTTTTCGATAGAGAAAACCCAAAAGAACAACGCATTGCCAAAAACGGAAAGAGCAGTAGAGCTGTATTAAGGACGGAGGTGTTTTTTGTATTATATGAAGCGTCACTTACGAGTTCAAAAACATTCACATAAGTATAGTTTAAAGAGATAAAGGAACAAAAAGAATATAGTCCATTGGGTTAAACCTGTAGCTGTATGATGTGCTCTGGAAAAAATCAAAATAAGCAACCGTTTTCCCTTCTTAAACACCTTTTCCTCACTTTTCTGATCCTTTGCTGTGTACAGGTGCGTCATCTTAAATTGCTTCCATGTCCACATAGAGAGACGATTCCGACATTTCCTCCTTCGCTTGTCATGAACTCGGAGGGTCCAAACTGTCATCTGTGTTCGGTGTGTTTCCACGCACAGGAGGCTTTTAGTCACACTTGTCTGTGTCTCTGTGTGTCCACATTGCAAGCCGCTGCTGCTGCCAAAGCAGAGATGGGTTGCATTCCAGAAAGCTGCGTAATAAAATGCTGCTGCTGAGTAAAGTTCGGGCGACGGGGGCAACACACCTTACATTGTTTTTTAGACGACACAAAAGCAAAAAAGTCTGGGGGGTTTTTTTATGTCAAAAAACATCTCTGTTATCTCCTCTTCCTCCACAGTGGCATAAAAACAGACACAATTACTGATAGTACTTCAAAGACGTTGTCACTCACACAGCTAGACACACACACACACACACTCACCTAAACACCCGTGCACACACCTCGTCACATTCGCACGCTCAAATCAAACGTTTGTTACTTTACATGCAAACAGGAACAAAAACAATAGAAAAAACAAATGAAAAAAAAAACACAAAATAAAATGAAACTTTCAAAATAAAAGTACATGATCCGCTGGAGCAGGGCTTCTCGATTATATTACATTCTTCTCATTGTCTCTTTTTTATGCTGTTAAATCATTCATAGTAATTCCAGTACATTGCTGGGTGGCCACAAGCGTGGGGTGGCTAGTTTGTCAAGTTGACGTGTTGTGACGGTGGACGTCCCAGGCGCTCAGGGGTGGATTTGTCATCTCGGTGTCGGAGGAGACTCCAAGGAGAGGAGGGGAAAGCAGGAGGAGGAAGACAGAGGAAAAGGAGGAAGAATTCTGGTTGTGGTGAGTGAGGCCCGGGATTCTGTTTTATGATGGACGGCAGCAGCTGCAGAGAAAGAAAAAGTGGGGAGGAAAAGAGAGGCTGCATCAGTCATGGTGGTTTTGAATATAAACAATTTCTGCTTGGCATCCTGTTCTGACCAACAATGCTGCTCTCCAGCTCCAGCCCGATGGAACATTCGACTCATCTGCTAAACAAAATCGAATGCCAAAGCCAGAGCATCCAGAGCGGCTGCCCTACAGGGGGAAATATGGATTTCGTGGCAACGATGTATTAACTTATGTGCACCACATGCAGTTGTGTGTGTATATATGTGCAACATGCCCTTGACTTGTTTGCACATATCAAAAGCACAGCAATAGACATTTAACTGGTTTGCGTATTAGATGAACACTCTTTGTATAGATTGTACAGCCAGTGCAACCGCGCCAACTGAAATACATCCATCATAAAGCCTTCAACATTGTTCAGGCAGGAATATTGATTCATTATAGCACATTACATTTGAGTATTTATTATGGGTATTGTTTCATGTTCAAATAAAACCTTGTATGGTGTTTTTGTATCTCAGGTAAATGCTTTTATACTGACAATTTACCGCTTTTACTGTTGTTTGCTCTTTCTTTAATACTATTTTGATAATTAATTAATCATCAGTCCTTTGTCAAGCCAAAAAAGTCAAATGTTTGCAGGTTTTAGAGGGTTTTATTATTTTCTACATATGATAGTAAATTCCTCATCTTTGGGTTAGTGACTTTTGGTCAGATAAAGCAATTTTAAAACATAACCATGGTTGTTTGAAATTATAATGGGGATGTTTTACTTTTCAGACATTTTACAGACAAAAAAAATTATTTGAATTAATTAATTAAAAAAATTAATACAGCGTGTTAATGAGGATCATTTCACTATTCAACTCCATCACAAACTACAACCTCCAAAATGACCATAAAAATAAATTTGAACCTCTCTAAATAACAGAAACTGAACATTATAACCTTCACGAAGATGGGATTTATTGCAGGACTGTAGTATTAGACTGCATTAGTTTTAGTTAGTTTTACAGTACCTAATTAACTGGTGACTAAGTGTATAAAATAAATTAATAGGGTAATTATGTAACTGGGTGACTATAAATCCATGCATTATTGACTTACGGGCTTGTATTTATTTGCGTGCTAAACAATAATCTGTACACTCAGAAAATCCAAAAATGAAAATCTAGCAGAGGATCAGCTAAAAAGAGAGAACAGTATGTAATATCTCATTTATTGAATGAATCAAAATAAGAGGGCGACTTCTATCTAAGACCTTCCTGGTACCTTGACAACATATTGGTGTGTTGGCTAAACACCTTCTCCTCTTTCCCAGAAAGTGTTTCCGAGCTCTGTTGGGCTCTGTTTGGCTGACTGGGAGTCAGCGGCTGATTAATTCTTCTCATTAACATGCCAGCAGCATCAGGCCCGCAGACTGATCACAGACCAGTGGCTATTGATCTGCTCTGGCTGCCTGAGGTGGCGCGACCCGCCTGTTAATTAACACAGCTTCTGGAGCTGAGGGGCCAGTGATGAGAGAGAGAGACGGGGGTCTAATAAATCTTTTAGACCCAAAGCAGATATTAGAAACATACCGCAATAATAAAGGGAGGTTTAATCCAGTATGTTTGTTTTATTTTAATAGGGCTTTTTTGTGCTGATCTCAGGAAGAAAGAAATATAATTGTATTGATCCTCACCTTGATGACGGTTTGAGTAATCCTGTGTATTTTCTGGTTTGTTTTCTTGACGATGCTGATGATTCTGATGATTCTGATTCACTCAGCATCCATATTGCCTTTGTTGCATCCTTTTGTCCAAATATAGCCAATAAATTCCTTCACTCTCGCGTCCAGTTTAGTGAAGCCAATTCAACTGAGTGCAACAGCTGTCCATAAATTTGGTAAGAGGGGAGTTGGGGGGTCCTGCAGTAGCGGGCGGGGCGGGCGGGGCTGGGGGTTTGTTTCAGATTGTGGGGAGGATGAATGGGAAGAATCCAAATTGTGTGTTTATCTGAGGGTGAGGGAGGCATTTTTGGAGACAGGGGAGTGGGAAGGCTCCTCTGGAAGATCAAAGACATTCTCAGCAATGTCCTGAGGGCAACAAAGTACAGCGTTCTGGGAGAAAAACAAGGCCAGAACAGAGCGAAAAACACAAAAAGCTCCTCAAAATAAGCCCTCCCTGCACCCCTCGGTATCCAACCCTCAACCTCTCAGAGATTCACTGTTTATATACGACAGTCAGGATTCTCCATTTTGTCTGCGTGATATCAAACAGATCCAGCTGAGAGAGAACAATGGTGGCCGGGGCAGCCTGCGAGTCCCACAGAAACAATTCATGTACAATAAACACAGTCACAGGAAATCAAAAAAATCTGCTCCGCGGATTATTCCAGAAAGAAAGTTCCAGAAACAACACTCTGCCCAAGAAGAGGAAGAAAGGTACGATCCCCCCCTTCCTCGCTTTTCCTTCCAGACCATTAAAGGCACTCCAGATTGGCCTCTCGGAAGCACTTTTCCAGCCGTCCCTCCATCTATCCATAAATGCTGCAGACAGAAGTGTCCCATTCTCCAAAACAACGAAAAAAGGGCAAGGTAAAGGTCTGATTTTTAAAAAAGTGCCATTTTCACCACTTTTTTTTCTTCTTCATCAACATCTTCTTTTCTTTTAGATCCAATTTAAAGTGCATGGATGAGGTAAACTATTTCTTCATAGTTTATTTGTCTCTTTTTTTAATATTTAATCTTTTTTGTTATTTATTTATTTTTTTTTCATAAGAAACGAAGTCGCTTTGCTTCCTTTTCCTTTCGCTTTGTTTAAACCTCTCAGACGGGAACCATTCTGCCTTGCATCTGTTGCATTTGGGACAGCATTCCCTGGACGCTGGTCAGGATCTTGTTCTGGTGTGCTGCCGAGGAGATGCCTATGCGAGCCATATCCCTGAAAAGGATGGGGAAAAGAGGCCTTTTAGGACTGGGGACAACAATAACAAACACACGTAGGACTGATCCACATGATGAATTTTACAGCCTTCTAGTGGAAACTGGCCTGACAGTTTAACTGCTGAGTAAGGACTTTCACTCGCCAACACAGCAAGCCTAATCCTGTAATCTTAATAACTGAAAAATGAAAATATTACAGACGATTGACAGAAGTGGACAAACATTTAACACATGTAGAAAAATCCCTGACTGACTGCACCAATTATGAAGGAATGGTCTGACATTTTGAGGAATACACTTATTAGAGTTAGATGAGAAGATACCAATACCAACCGTCTTATCTTTCTGCAAGAAAGCAATAAAGTGTATTTCCAAAAATATTGATAAACTGATTTAAGAGTTAATTATAATTTTCTATTAATTTCAAAATCATAGTCTTCAAAATAATGATCAACGTTTTTTAAAAAGTTTCCTGATTATTTCTGGAAGTCTGCTGTCTTTAGTAATGAGTCATATTCTTCTTCAAGCCCATAAACTGTGACATACACTAACTTCACAAATATTAATTTTGTGGAATTATATAAAATCTAAACACTCTTTCTTTTACTGGAACTTCTTCATCAAGTGAGAATCCATTGAAGAAAGTGTCTCACTCCATTCACAGAATTCACTCACTATAAGAACAGTTTTTTACTTTCTCATATTCTCCCTTCTCTACTCACTCTTGTGTCATGTGGACCACAGCCTCTGGAGTGGTGTAGCCAGCAGCGGTGAAGTTGTCGCTGTATCTTTCCATGCCAATGGCCTGCAGCCAGTCCTCCACTGTGCCCACGGCCGAGGACGCCTCGGGGCTCCCTGGCTCCAGCAGGGTGGTGTTAGGCCTAGTGTGGGTGGAAGAAAAAGTGAAAAGAGTTAATTTCATCAGCACAAGTTTCTTACGTCCTACAGATCTCAGCTGTCAGTTTGCTTCTGTATTTACAGTCAACATTTGATGCTCCTGTGTTAGTGTCATGCCATTGTTCTGACGGCCCATTATTCCGAAACCCCAATAGTCCGAAAAATATCCCATTGGATTGAAAGCCTGTTTTTTTTGGGAAACTCTTTAATAACAAAAACAAAAGCCCATTGCACCAAAAATACACACTTTGTTATCACCAACCTACATACATATTTTAACCCAACCATGATATTTTCCTAAACCTAACCCAGTTTTGGTGCCTAAACTTAACCAAACTGCAACCTTTTCACTCCATAAACCACGTATTTATTGTTACCATGACAATGTCACCTGACTTTGTCCATTCCCCAAGGGCAAAACCTCCAGGGACAGTATGTATTTTCAGAGCAGTGGGCTTTTGTATCAGGATAACGGGCTGTCAGACACATGGGCTTTCAGTCCAATGGGATATTTTTCAGACTCTAGGGGTTTCGTAATAACGTGCCGTCGGAACAATGGGGAGTCTCCCCTCTACTTCTGTCTAGCACGCAAGATTCAGCCCACAGCCATGATGTGTGCAACAGTCTGTGCAAATAGACAATAAAAGTTACATTCTGTTTAAGTGCTTTTGACTTGAAAGGTAATGATCCACTTTCCTCCACAGTCTGGAACACCATTGATTCATGACAACTGCAGCGACGACAGCACTACTGGAATTAGAGTTTCTCTGATTCCGACTAGAAGCTGTAGTATCAGAAGGGCATGACACATACACCTTGTGCGATGACAGAGAGCTCCCCACAAGCTGTTAAATGCTCCATGGTACATTTCTCTCTAGCTTTTCCTCCTCCGTGGACTCAGCAGGTCTGTCAGGTTCAGCTCTGTTTTGTGTCCCTGTTTTGTGGGTCCTACCAGAAACCCAGCCAAGGAAAACACAGTTTCCTCCTGGGTGTGACCGACACAGTTAGTTAATCCTTATTTTACAGAAAACACACAACCGGGGCACACTTCGGTGAATTTAACCGCACGGTGGAATTCCTCCTCACATTCAGATATTCATCAGTAGAATTACCTCCCTCTCTTTCACATCTTACTTTCCCTTTTTTCCCATCCTTCCTTTCTGTTGAGCGTTGAAGCAGCGCCGTCGGCCATGAAACATTTACATGGGGCCGGTGAGTCTGAGTCGGTGGCGGTCTCAACCCGCTCTGATGACTCTCTCCCTCTCACACACACACACACTCTATCTCTCTTTATCGTTCTCTCTTTTTTTATAAAAGAACGTTGAGTTGGACTGTGAGAACAGGATGTCAGACTCTTTAATAAGTCATCTCTACTCAGTAGGTGGAAAAGATTATGCATAGGGATCCCTTTTCACACACACACGCACACATTCTGCTTTCCCCTTCTCTCTTGTAACTGTAAAAGCTGCATTTATAGGATTCAGCTCTGCTAATTACTCCACAAGGACTCCCTCCTCGCTCTCACTGTGTCCCATTAGGTGGGGGTGTGTGTGTGCGTGCGTGAGGGTCACACGCACTCACACACTCGTTAAACTCAAACAGACTCCCGCTGGCCTGCGTCGAGTCTGTAAACACGCACAGGTCATTCTTAACACGTTTAGCCGCTCGAGAGTAATGGTGTCGGAGCCGTAGGGTCATGTTTGTTTTTAACTCGGCGTTACGTTGTAATTCTCGCCCCCTGTTAGAGCGGCTACATTCCTGAGTGTACAGCGCCATTAAAGCCAGTTTGCAGAGAAATCCATTATGCAGGTTGTTTGTGCTGAAAAGAGCCACACGTTGCTGGTAGATAATGTTTAATGGTGAATGTAAACACCAGCAAGAGAATAGGAGAGTATGTGTGTGCGTGTTTGTCTAGAGGTAGACTATAGCAAACATAATGCGTACAGTAAATGGGCTGCAAATGTGTGTTTATGTACAGTCAATTTTTAACACAACATATTTGCGGGTTGCCAATTGGAACTTTTCTATACGGGACAGTTGGAGCATTCTCTGATGGAGCCATACAAATACTTTCTGGTTGCTGAGTTTGCAGTAGTACAAAAGCGCCAAAATCACACCTATTAATGCAAAGAATATGTGAAACTGTAATATTTCTGAAGAATGTGACTGCTCTCTAAAATAATGTGATATTAACAGTATTCTCAGAGAATTTAAAAGTTGATCACAACTACAACATAACATACTCTGTAACCTCTAGAGATATCCAGCCATGTTGTATTTCTTAAGTTAAAAATAATTTAAATAAAAACTGTTTATGGTATGTTCTTTTTATTCAGAGTGACCAGAGCATATGCTTGGACTAGAACTTGGGGCAAATAGAAACCAACCACTTTCTGCATGGCTAAATATAAGAGGTAAGTGAGAAAATATGTATTTTTACTGTGATTTGTGTGAACTGATACCATATCTACATTACGCATGTTTGTATCTCGCCCCCTCACCTGACAGTGGTCTCGCCCCCAGTCCTCTTCAGGGTGTTGGGGTTGCGGATCAGCTTGTCCAGCATGTTGACGATCTGTCCAAACTTTGGCCGGTCAGCCCTCTCTCTCTGCCAGCAGTCCAGCATGAGCTGGTGGAGTGCCACAGGGCAGTCCATGGGCGGGGGCAGCCGATAGCCCTCATCAATAGCCTTGATCACCTAGACAGTACATCAATGCTGCTGTAAGTCACTTTGTTTAAGAGTTTGTTTGTCTGTAGGGAGTTCAACTGAAATAAAAACTGTAGGCAGTTTGATTACAGCTATGTCATTTCCCCCCTAGTTTTATACCCATAGCTTAATTTTTAATTACCTAATTTTAGTCACCTACGCCAGACATTTGGTTACGCATAAATTAAATTCTTTATCATCATTAGTGGCACTAGAAATGTGAATTCAATGTGTAATGAGAAATGGGAATATACTGCTGGTGTTTTATCACCGCTGCAGGTAATTTGATTACATAACCAAGTTAAAATGATGAAGTGTCTTTTAAAAATGTTTGACAGGACACATACAACTGGGAATTATTGTTTGAGCTCTAATTCCAGCTGTATATTATTTATGATTGTCTGCATATAATTAAATTCCTCTAGACTTACATCTTGGTTACTCATGTCCCAGTATGGTCGCTCGCCGTATGACATAACCTCCCACATGACAATTCCATAGCTCCACACATCGCTGGCCGAGGTGAACTTCCTGTAAGCAATGGCCTCGGGGGCCGTCCAGCGGATGGGGATCTTCCCTCCCTGTAATTGAAAGATGGGCTGATTAATGAAAGCTGACAACGCCGACAAGTAAGGTGACACACAGACAAACCACTGACTCAAGCTCGCCTACACACACACTCACTCACCCTGGTGGTGTATGCAGCCTCCGGGTCGTCCTCCAGCACTCGGGACATGCCGAAGTCGGACACCTTGCACACCAGGTTGCTGTTGACCAGGATGTTGCGAGCCGCCAGGTCACGGTGGACATAACTCATGTCTGACAGATACTTCATGCCTGATGCAATTCCGCGCAGGATGCCGACGAGCTGGATAACGGTAAAGCGACCGTCGTTCTTCTGCAGAAAAAAAATTATATTAAAAAAAAAATTGTCATATAACATACTGGTAAATATTTTAGAATGAGTTTAACATTTAACTGCAAATATTACATCAGTCATACATGAGTAAACTCAGTTTTAAACAAATGATTACTAACACACTCTAACAGGTTACAGTGTGGCTGTAAGAAAATATAGGGACATTTGTAAACCTTAGATTGTTTTGTTTCACACATGTTTAAGTGTTTCTGAATATATTTGTCAATAATTATAACTCCTCTTATATAAACAGGAACACAGCATAAAATAGATGATAAATACAGACAAAATATCCTTATAATGTGTTATAAAGCATTTATTAACTGTTTATAGACTAGACAACTATATTATAATATTTATTTTAAAACCTTTAGCATTTATAAGCAGTTTATATAAATATAATGTAACACACTGCAATATATTATCATTTGTAAGCTAACACAAGGACATTTTTAAGTTAAAATTACACTAAGATTTAATAAGCTCTTAATGAGCAAATCTTACATTGTGTTATAAAGCATTTGTTTGACTGTCTATAAACCTGGACAAATCATTCACAGGCATCAAAAACGCATGAAGACACTGTATATATCAGCATGTTATTAAGCATTCATTAACTTTTATACACCACTTATGGATGCATCATAAATGGGTCTGTATCTGGTCACAGCTGCCATTGTGCAACAAGTTGCTATTTGTGCAACATACTTTATGTCTATGCTTTTCAGTACCGCATGTTCCTTTTGCATTTTCTTCTGTTTGCTCTAACAGTGTGTATATTCACTGGCTAAAGTAGCTCAGCATCATCTAAAACCCAAAGTGTAGTGAACCCTGGAAACACAGTGGTGAAACCTGCGCCAACCTCCTCATCGGAAAAAAGTCGATCAAGGAGAGGATAAAGATTAGGGCGAATGTTTGTGAACCAACGCTTGTAATTTCAGAGGATGACATTACAGAGATAAGATGGGATCAGCACGCCACAGTCGCACCACACGTTCACACACATGCACACGTGTGCAGACAGAAACGCATGACTGACCCTCAGGAATGCATCCAGCGATCCGTTTTCCATGTACTCTGTGATAATCATCACTGGCTTACCTAGAGAGAGAGAGAGAGAGAGAGGGAAAAAGAGTGAGAGAATGGAAGGCGATATTATAGAGGTAAGCGATGCACATCACAGCCCGACACAGGCGGGGGGGGGGTTCTCCAGAATGTGCATGTGTGTGTGAGTGTGTGTTAAGCCATCCATCTCTGTCCCGTAGTGATTTAATTAGCTCAGTGTTACGGTTGCCCTGACGTCCCTCTTCTTTCCCTGCACTTGCAAAGGCATCTCCAGTGAAACAAAACACCACTACAGACACACACACACACACACCATCTTGTGTTTATGCAAATATGAACTGACGTTGGACGCATTATCCAAAGTGTCATCAGAGTCACCCACCCAGAATCCCTCTGACTCGCTATTTATGTCACTCACTGTCCCTTTGCCCTCTTTCTCCTCTGCCAACTTTCGACGCATCTGTCACTCTCCTGCTAGCTCCTCTCTATTGCTTTCTATTTTTCCTCCCTCTCACTCTCACTCTCTTTTCCCCCCCGATCCCTGCCACCCCTCTCTGGCCTTTTTCACCCCATCCCTCTGTCTTCCCCTCTCCGTCTCTCTTGGGGGAGCGTCTGTGTCTTTATCTGAGCCCGGGCAGGCGGTGGGGAGGGTGGACATTCCCTGGTGGGTCTCTGTCTGTCTTTGTCTCTTAGGATGAGGGGGGATAGCGGGCATGAAGAGAGGAGGAGAGAGAAAGAGCAAGAGAGGGGAAAAAGGAAAAGAAGGGAGGGTGGCTTGTTTTTGTCCCAAAATGGCAGCAAGCTGGTGCCTAACCAGCCATGGCAACAACACATGCCGAAAAGTGCTGCCACAAATTCCTCCTAGAACAGCGCTGTTCTTTGCGTTCCATTTCAAGTGGCACAGTTAAGGTGGACTTAAAAGCTTATTGCATTGAAGAGAAGTGCTGACTAAAACCGAATGCCTTGAGGGGAGGTTGTGTTAAATCTCCTGTGCACTCCAACAGAATGCCTAAAGCAGCAGAGAGCCAGTCGAGCGGTTGGCAGCCAAGGTCTTGAAGGTGCAGTTCCTCCTCTCCACAGCAGGCCTTTCGCCAAGCCAAGAGGCCGTCAGTCACCCCCTTACCCGCCGCGTGATTGGCACTCCATTAATTACGGGGCGCTCCGGCGATTGCCCCAAAAAGAGGAAGTGGAGTTAAAGTTGGGGGAGAGCGAGGGCTCTCTTTGTCAGCCATCTTTGTTCCCTTTGTTGCGCGCCTCTGCCCTGGGGCCGCCGCTGATTGACAGCTCCCCAATCAAGTCTGAGGAGCGTCTGACCTGCGACCTTAAACTCTCGCCTTCCCAGCCCCGCCCTCTTCCTCCCTTCCCATTTGCATGCTAATTCCTTGTTTACTGAATACGCCCTGCCGCCTTTGGCAATGAACTCTGGGCAAGGGCCCCGCCAGTGGGCCGATTATCACCTGCCAACAAAACGAGAAGGGGAAAAATGCAACAGGGGGACAATATTGGGGGAACATTGGGCAAACGCTCTCCCCCGGCGTTTGCGGCGAACAAAGATCTGGCTTTTAAACGCAGATCTTTTTTAAATTAGCACGCTCTTACTTTAAGTAAATCAGCTGTTAAACATATCACGTCTGATTTCAAGCTCTAATGGAGGCTAGATTTTAATTACACACTAGCATGATAGAAACATTAAGTATATACAGGCCTCAAGATGGTGGACTGCAGCCAGCAGTCCTTGGTGAGAGATTTTCGCACATTTATGTATTTCAGTGCCTATTTGGAGTTCCTCCATAATTAATAAGGCTTAATTGGCTCTGTTGGACATGCCAGCAAACTGAGGCCAGATTGAGAATTCCTTTTAACTTGATTGTAATGGAGAGGGGAGTGCAATTCAAATAATGGATTTTTAATAGATTCTACTGACACTCTCAAGTGTAAAGGACTAATTTGCCCAAACCTTGTGTCAAGCTCTCAAACATAAGAGTGGAAGGAGGTGGAGTGGGAGTTATCGGATGATCTTCCATTGCTTTGGCTTGCCATCCTTTCATGACGGCTCCCGTCACTGCTGCGTACCTCATCTGCTTCTCCTTCACCTCTCTCCCTCTGTCTCGCTCTGTCTCTTTCTTTTTCAGCCGCCGGTTCAGTAGTTCCACCCCCCTCGGCTTTCTCTCTCTGTCGTCCCCACTGTTGTTCTCTGTCTTTCCTCTAATCCATCAGCTCTCAACCGCCTTCCTGTCTCTCTCTCTATCCCCACGTCTCTGTTCATGCCTTCCCTGTCTGCCACTTGTCTCTCCAATTTCTTTTTCCTTCCTCCTGTCCATCTGTCTGCCTTTTCTCTGTCTTTCTCACTCCATCTCTGCGAGGTCTGAGAGGTCATTCCCTGTGGTGAGAGGTGCGATAGGTGATAAGCAATTCTGCCTGAACTGCTGTTCACTTTCAGCTCCGGTTTGGGCTAAATGTGTGTGTGTGTGCATCTTTCTGTGTGTTTCTGTACGCTGTATCCAAGAGTGAGAGAGACGGTGTTATCTAGCACAGATAGGGCCAGGCTGTTGTGTCACGACACATTAAGGCACTTCATCCATCTAACCCAAGCCAAGGCCGGCCATCAGCTATGGTAACACTCACACACACATGCATGCAATCAAAGGTGCACAGACGCCGACATGTGCTGACAAGAGATTCACACATGCACACACACAAACACGCCTAGCCTAACAAATAGCATCAGGAGAAGGTGTAAAAGGTAGGGAGACACAGAGAGACATAGAGGAGAGAATGCCGGGGGGGGGGGGGGGGGGGGGGGGGTTGGTGTTTTGTGGCCATGCAGCAGCAGATAGAGGAGGGATAGGGTATCACTCCCTAACCCCAAACACATTTACAGCTGACACCATGATTAATGAGCCTGGTGCTGTGCTACAGGGCCTGTTCCTGGACCCATTAGAGCCCCCCCTACCAACTGCCCAGCTACCTCTAACTCCACCTCCCCCTCCCCACCAATGCTGGACCCCCTTCCTTCTGGACAAAGCCCACCTGGGGATACCCCGGATGGGACACACATGTGAACAAGTACAAACACGCATATGTGCATGAATACAGGTGTCCTACAACATATGCAACATAAGCGATTGTAAGTCTTTAGATACCGTAGGTATGCAAGCATTAAAACACACAACGGCACACCTCTGTCCCTACACTGACCCTTCTCCAAAGTCACCCAAAAACCGCAGACGTAGTTTGTAATGATTTATTGTTACTTTTTTTTAAGGGGACAGCAGAAATGAATGTCCTTTCTGTGTTATTATAATATAATAGTCATTGTGTGTGTAAATCGGTTTGTGTGTGTGTGTATGTGTGTGTGTGTGAGTATTATTATAATTTCCTGTGGCAATTTCATTTCTCCAAAATACTTTCTCGAATAGGGAAAGAATTATACACCAAATTATGTTTGAGCCATCAAAGTTCTCATCATGCACTTTTCTGTATGTATAAAGTAAACAAAAATACACGCTGTAGCACATACATTTGGTGACCACGCCCTCTAGGTGAATGATGTTCGGGTGGTCGAACTGGCCCATGATGCTGGCCTCGGACAGGAAGTCCCTCCTCTGCTTGTCAGTGTAGCCGGCCTTTAGCGTCTTGATGGCTACGCAGATCTCTCTCTTGCCCGGCATCTTCAGGCGGCCGCTGCAGACCTCGCCAAACTCCCCTGAAAAACACACGGCCAGGTTGAAAATGTGGAACGATGATACACAAGCACTCTGATACTACAGTGCACGGACCATAAATCACATCACGAAGGGAGTATGTGATGATGGTGTGTGCCTGTTTGTGTGTCTGTGTGTGTGCAGGTTAGAAGGGGTCCACTTTAAACATTGATCAGGGTCTCTAATCCCTCACTCCCCTCCTCCCCTCGGCCAGCGGAGCAGAGAGAAAGGGGAAATGGATATTGATTCTTTCTCTTTATTATTTTGTCATTGGATGACTTTTCTCTGGCCACGGACAGCCTATTTAGCCTCCCCTGATTTTTTTCTTTTTTACTCGTTGACCTCTCTTGAGGCAGACCAAATGTTATTGTCCGAGCTGTCCTGCACACACAGCCAAACAGAAACATGAATCACTGAGAAATATATGCTGGTAGCAGAATATCTGCATGAAATGAATGTCAAATATTCTGTTATCCCATTAGGTGGATGCTTTTATCCAAACTATGTTACAATATGCCCTACTACAAAGGCTCCCCATTACACTGCACTTACAGTAATTGATTAAAAAGAAGTTGCTGGATTACAAACAAAAAGCTCCTCACCAATGCCAATAACTTTCTCAATCTTGATACAGGAGGCGTCGATCTCTTTGGCAAACTCGCGGACTGCTTGGTTTGGGTCCTCGTAGGTAAAGGGGTCGACGTATATCCTCACTCCTGACGAGAGACGTTTGGAAAGAAAGGAAGGAAGGAAGCAAAAAAAAAGAAATAAGGGAGTGAAAAGTGAAGGTTAATTCATTCCGGCAACTACACTCCATCTGTTCTTTATTTCCATCATGCTGCAGGCTACACCGCCTTCCTCTGTGGAACCTCTCCTCCTCCTCCTCCTCCTCCTACTTTCTTCTCTCCATACCTCGCTTCACACTCTAACTCCATTGCTTTTCATGCCGATATGGCTGACTCAAATGAAGATGGAGCTCATTAATTTGATTTTTTTTGTGGAATGCAAATAACAATGCTGATGACTTGATAATGAGGTGTTTGGAGCATGTTAGGATGCAAGTACATTAACTTCAAAACTGTTTTGTTTTTTCCCTCCATTTTATGGGCTTCATTTGCGGTTAAGAGTGCATGCACATGAGCACACCTGACAGCGCTAATGTTTTTCAATTATAGAGTGTGTAGGTGGAGTGTTAACTATGAGTTACCTTGATGTAAGTGCTTCTCCTCGTCAGAGTCCTGCTTGGCCTTGCTGTACTTACTCCTTCTGGGGGCAAAGACAGCAGGGTGGTCAGTCACAGTGGCAACAGCACATGGAGCATTTCAAGATTCAAATATCAGGATAAAGAGCAAAGCATCTGCATCTCATGTAAAAATGAAAGATTATTATAGCAATAATGGAATACAAGTGTCAATTCAGTAAACCCTAATTAAAACTTAAACCAAGACTCCAAACCCACTTGTACATCAATTAAATTATGTGAAGTGGCGACACAATCACTGATTACTGATGAGACATTGATATTCTTGTTTGATATTAATTATTTATTAAAGAGAGCTCATTGTAAATACAGAATGCTAACCTAATGGGATTTTTGAAAAATGTTTTTTATGACACTTTTGTCTTGATAATTGCTCTTAGGATAAAAGCTTCAAAAATAGTTCAACATTTTGGGAAAGAGATGAGAACATTGATACCACTCTCATATCTGTCCATTAAATATGAA